ACCTTTTAGCATCCCTGCCTAGCTCCACCCCTCCTTTCTGACCCTAGGCAACCTGTAACGTGTCTTCTATCTATAGATTTACCTGGCATATCTCATTGAACTCATTGAATTGAATTGTGTCATATATTCTGTGGTTCTTTGCATCTTCTTTCACTTAGCATAATGTATGTGATGTTCATCTGTGTTTAAACATTTATTGGTCCTTCGTTTTCTTTTTGGCCTTCAAAGGGAATAATATTGTATGTATATATTGTCTCTCACTTATCTGCTCATGGGTTGATGGCTTTTATAAATAATGTTGCAATGAATATTCATGTGCCAGTTTTTCTTCCATTTCTCTTTGAGAGAGACCTAGGAGGGGAATTGCTGGGCCATATGGTAACTAGTTTAACCTTTTGAGGAACCTCAGTTGGTTTTCCAAACAGCTGCCCTATTGTACCAACAGTAGTATATGAGCATTCCACTTTCTCTGTTTCTTCTGTATCTTCACCAAGTCTTGTTATTGGCTTTAAAAAAAAAATCTATTTTGCGGCACTGGCAATGAAGCCAGGACCACTTTCGTGCTAGTCAGGTATTCTTCCAGTGAGGTATAGCCTAAGATCTGGTTGATGCCTTTTTTTTTTTCTTAAAATGCCAGTTCATGGAAAGTAGTATATCACTGTGGTTTTTGTTTTCATTTCCCCAGTGGCTAAAGATTGTTAAGTGTTTTTTGTTTGTTTTTGTTTTTCTGAGACAGTGTTTCTCCCTATAACCGGGCCTGTCCTGGACCTCACTCTGTAGACCAGGCCTGCTTCTGCCCCCTAAGTGCTGGGATTAAAGGCATGTGCCACCACCTCTCGGCCAAGTGTTTTTTGTTTTTTTTTTAATATATCTTTTTGAATTTTTCTTTGGAGACAGCATCTCATGTATAAAGCTGGCCCAGATTGACCTTGAGTTTGTGGTCTGTCTTCATCTCCCGAGTGCTGGAATCACTGGCATGCGCCACCGCATCTGGTTATGAAGTGCTGAGGAAGGACTCAGGCTTTGTGCATGCCTGACTAGCACTCTACCAGTGGAGTTGCTTTCCTGTTAGTCAGTTGTAAATCTCTAGATATTTACAAGGTAACAAGATTCGGATCTTATGGCCGTCTTTTGTTGCGGGCCGCAGGAATATATCATAAGAACTCAGCTGGTTATGGCAAAGTCACTACCTGGAGGGATCATGGAATTCCTCCAGAGGAAGCCAAATCCCAAGGAGTTTTTGATGTTACTTGGCTTGTTATATATCAGCTGTATTCTGTTA